ACCTTTTTAATATACTGCTGGATCCTATTTGCTAATATTCTGTTGAGGATTTTAGCATCTATGTTCATTATGTATATTGGCCTATAATTTTCTTTCTTTGTAGTGTCTTTATCTGGTTTTGAATTTGGACAATACAGGCCTTCTAAAAAGAGCTTGGGCCTGGCTGGATGTGGCTCAGTGGTTAAGCATAGACCTAAGATCCAGGAGATTGTGATTCAATTCCCAGTCAGGGCACATGCATGGGTTGTGGGCTTGATCCCCAGTTGGGGCGTGCAAGAGGCAGCCAATCAATGACGACTCTCTCATCATTGATGTTTCTATCTCTCTCTCCCTCTCCCTTCCTCTCTCTGAAATCAATTAAGATATATTAAAAAAAAAAAAGGAGCTTGGAAGTCTTCCTTCTCTTGAATGTTTTGGAATAGTTTGAGGAGGATAGATATTAGTTCTTCTTTGAATGTTTGGCAAAACTGGACTGTGAAGCCATCCTGTCCAGGACTTTTGTTTGCTGGGAGGTGTTTTTGTTTGTTTGTTTGTTTTTAATTACTGCTTCAATTTCATTAGTTATCAGTCTATTCAGGTTTTCTGTTTTTTTCTGATTGAGTTTTTAGAAGATTGTATGTTTCTAGGAATTTGTCCATTTCGCAGGTTGTCCAATTTGTTGGTGTATAGTTGTTCATAGTATTTTCTTACTATCCTTCATATTTCTCTGGTGTCAGTTGTTACTTCACCTCTTTTATTTCTGATTTTATTTATTTGTGTCTTCTTCCTTTGTTTCTTGATGAGTCAGGCTAAAGGTTCATCAATCTTGTTTATCTTTTTAAAGAACCAACTCTTGGTTTCATTGATCTTTTGTATTTATTTTTTTGGTCTTTGTGTCATTTATTTCCACTCTGATCTTTAGCATTTTCTTCCTTCTACTTACTCTGGGCTTTTCTTGTTGTTCTTTTTCTAGTTCTTTTAGTTGTAGAGTTAGATTATTTTTGATATTTTTCTTGTTTCTTGAGGCAGTTCGGTAATGCTATGAACTTGCCTCTCAGGACTGTTTTTGCTGTGTCCCATAGATTTTGGGTTGTTGTGTGTTCATTTTGATTTGTTTCCAGGAAGTTTTTATATTTTTTCCTTGATCTCATTGGTAACCCATTCATTGTTTAATAACATGCTGTTTATCCTCCATGTGTTTGAATGTTTTTGTGTTTTTATTGTAGTTGATTTCTAGTTTCATGCCATTGTGATCTAAGAATGTATTTGATATGATTTCAATCTTTTTGAACTTGTAGAGACTTATTTTGTGCCCTAACATGTAGTCTGTCTTTGAGAATGTTCCATGTACACTTGAGAAGAATGTATATTCTGCAGCTTCAGGATGAAATGTTCTCTAAATATCAATTATATCCCTCTCATCTAGTGTGTCATTNTCTTGCAATTCTGGTTTGGTGGTAATAAAATCCTTTAGCCCTTTTTTTGCCTGGGAAGCTCTTTATTTTACCCTCAGTTTTGAGTGCTAGCCTTTCTGGATAGAGCAGTCTTGGTTTCAGATCCTTTTCATTACTTTGAATACTTCATGCCACTGCCTTCTGGCCTGTAGTGTTTCTGTTGAGAAATCAAATGACAGCCTTATGGGAGCTCCTTTGTAGGTAACTGACTGTCTCTCTCTTGCTGCCTTTAAGATTCTCCTTGTTTTCAACATTTGCCATTTTATTTATGAAGTGTCTTGGTGTGGGCCTCTTTGGGTTCATCTTATTTGGGACTCTCTGTACTTCCTGAACCTGTATGACTTTTTCCTTCCCTAGGTTAGGGAAGTATTCAGCCATTATTTCTTCAACTAGGTTCTCTTTTACTCACTTCTTCTCCCTCTGATACTCCTATGATGCAGATGTTATGTTTCCTGTTGTCCCAAAGTTCCCTTAAACTGTCCTCATGCTTTTTAATTATTTTTTTCTTTTGCTGCTCTGATTTTTTTCTACCCTGTCTTCTAACTCACTGATTTGATCCTGGGCTTCCTCTAACCTACTGTTTATTCCTTCCAGTGTATTTTTTATTTCAGCTATGCCATTCTTCATTTCTGACTGGTTGTTTTTCATGATTTCTATGTCCTTTTTCATGCTGTTAAGCATTCTTAAAACTATTAATTTGAACTCTGTTTCTGAGAAATTGTTTGCCTCCATTTCCTTTAGTTTTTTTTCTGGTAAATCCTCCCGTTCTTTCATTTGGGGCATGTTTCTTTGTCTCCCCATTTTGGCTGCCTCTTTGTGTTTGTTTCTGAGTATTGGATAGGACTGCTATAACTCCCAGTGTTGGTNAGTATTGGGTAGGACTGCTATAACTCCCAGTGTTGGTGTGGCGGCCTTCTGTATTGGGTGTCTTGTGGGGCCCAGTGGTGTAGTCTCCTTAATCTTCTGAGCTAGGAATATCCCTTGTGTGGGTTATGTGAGCCCTCCTGTTGTATTTGGGTCTTAATTGCTGTTGACCCTTTTGTGAGTGGGCTCAGCCCTCAGTCTGGCTGACTGTGAGGTTCAACCTCAACTATGTCATGCCAACTTTTATACAGGTGCTGACACAACAAAACAAGACAAAAAAAGACAAAACTGAAAACAATACACACCAAAAACCCCAAACCAACAACAAAAACAATAACCACAAATAATAATAATAAAAATACTAAAAAGACAAAAGACTAAAAAAATTAGAGATGAAAAAAGAAACCAAAAAAGAGAATATGAAAAAAAAGAAGGAAGAGAAAAGAAAAAGAATATAAAGAAGGAAACAAAATAATAAATCAAAGAATAATAATTTAAAAATATATATATATCTNAGAAGGAAAAGAAAAAGAATATAAAGAAGGAAACAAAATAATAAATCAAAGAATAATAATTNAAAAACAATAACCACAAATAATAATAATAAAAATACTAAAAAGACAAAAGACTAAAAAAATTAGAGATGAAAAAAGAAACCAAAAAAGAGAATATGAAAAAAAAGAAGGAAGAGAAAAGAAAAAGAATATAAAGAAGGAAACAAAATAATAAATCAAAGAATAATAATTAAAAAAAATATATATATCTTTATTGATTTCAGAGAGAGGAAAGGAGAGGGAGAGAGAGAGATAGAAACATCAATGATGAGAGAGTCATTGATCGAGCCTGCAACTTGGGCATGTGCCCTGACCAGAATCGAACCCCGATCACCTGGATCCTAGGTCGACGCTCAACCGCTAAGCCATTCCCGGACGGGCAAAGAATAATAATTTTAAAAAATGATTAAAAAAATAAAATATCAAATAGAAACAGAAAAACAGAAAAAAAATAAAGTAAAAGAGAAAGAAAAAACAGAATAAATGGAAAGAGTGAAATAAGAGACATAAAACAAGAGAAGAAAAAACTAAAAGATAATGAAATACAAAACTAATAAAGAAGAAATTAAAAAGATAAAATAATAAAAGCAAATGGAGTTTTCCTCTGCTGATTTTGGTGTCTGCTGTGATTACCCTTTGGATCTGCTATTTGTGGAGCTCGCTGGATTTTTCTCTGATGCTGTCCAAATCTGGCCTCTTGGTGTGTCAGTCCCAGACCTCCTGAGAGGTTCTCTGGTGCAAGCCAACGTCAGTTGCTGTCTTTGCCTGACCCTCAGCAACCTGACTGACACTCAGTAGCATAGAGCCCAAAGTAGTCTGGTGGGCAGGGCCCCAATAGCCCAGAGGCTGGGTCTGGCTAGGATCTCCTACACTGAATGTCCCTGCTCACAGCTTCTCTTTCTTCCCCCACAAAACTCGGCTCTGTGACTGGGACCTGTCTGGGTTGGTTTAAACAGACTCACATTGGGGGTGGTGCCTGTAGGTTGTAGGATGTGAGGTGGGAGCTTCCTCTCCTTCCCAGGGCTGCGCTGGATGAACTCACTGGGGAGCTCTGCTCTGATTCCCTGTAATGCAGCAGAAGGGCCCAGGACACGCCCATGTACCTCCCAGTCCGTAGCCCACCCTGGATACACGGTGGCAATGTCACATCTCTGCCTGGCTCCCTGGCACCCCCTCGCTGCCACACCAATAGGAGGGGATAAAAAAATAGTCAGCCCTGTTTGGCACTCTAATCTTTCAGCATGTCTGGCCCCCGCTGGGTGGCGCCTGGGCCCAGGTTCCCACCAGGCCAAATGTCTGAGTCCTTTGAGCCCTCAGACCCAGTCATACAAGTGCGGATTTCCAGCCCCCAGATGTTCCCCTTTGCCTTGGGTCACATAATGCAGGTCAGGGGAGGGTTGCCACCAGGGCGCTTGAGTTGCACAAGACTGATCCTCTTTCTCAAGCCACATTGTCCAGCCCCACCCCGGCTCTCTGCCCAAAGATCTTCCAGAGAATATAGAGCTCCTCAGATTCACTGCTGGGTGTGCCGATTAGAACCCCCCACTGACCCCAATCTTTGCTGCATGTTCCCTTCTGCAGCCACAGATCAGATGGAAATTCCCAGGCTGGTGTTCTAACAAAGAAATCGTTCCTTGCCTGGGATGGTTCAGTATGAGACTTCCAGGTGGACCAAATCTCCACTGATTCCCACTGCCGGATGCTATAAGGGCTCCTCTTCCCTTCTCTGCTGCTCTTGATTGGGGATCCCTGCAAGGGACTGAGACCCCACGCTCCCAGGTGGTGGGGGCTCTGCTGCTGCATTTTCCCTCTTGCTACCCCCACCTCGGGGGTGCGAAGTCAGCTCTCCCTCTCCGCATCTCCTCCTGTAATTTCTTCACATTCCCTGCTTACAGTACTTCAGATCAGCTACACTTCAGCTGGTTTTTCAAGCCAACCATTCTGCAGTTTAGCCGCAAGTCCGGTCAGGTGTTGGGAGCAAGTGGACTATGTATTTTTGTAAGGTGACTCAAATCTTCCTTCTTGAAAAAGGGCAGATACAAATCAATCATTTGTCTATGTGAAACCCTAATGTCACCCATAAGGAGTTGGCCCGCTCACAAACTTGAACTACTGTCATTTTTGTTGGATCCACAAGTTTGATAAAGTATAAATGTAAAACAGAAGCATTTATTTCATTTCTGGTTTCCCTTTGGTAATGAAAAGACTAGTGAGAAGATTAAAAGTTGAAGTAACAACATGTTCTTTGGAATAAAAAATTATAACATGCTCTACTATATTTTGTGATTATTGGCTCTATTAATATAGAACAATTAATTTTAGATATAAACATTTATAATTATGTGATTATTACAAGTTAAAATTTATTCTTTGTTCTCTATATTGCCATTTAATTGAAAAAATAAACCAACAACAAAACCTTGCCACCTTATAATCAATTTGAAGTAGGTTGTTCAGGAATAATATAAAAGAAAGTGTAGACTGGGGTGTATTCAATTTAAGCCAAACAAAAAGCTTTGATCCATTCTGGCCTGTAAAGCAAGATAATAACGTTTATGATTTTTGAAAATTCACTGGAACTTCTTCCCTAAGCTGGTTCCTTTGTGACACATTTTCTTGAGTTCTACCCACGACTGCCACAGTAACAAACCTGGGATCAGAACCCACACACTATTGAAAAATACCAGATAGACCCAAAAGTAGAGCCAATTGTTGGTGTTGAGGTTGGGGCTTCCCAAAAGCCAGTCTGGGGAGAAGGTCATCCACCCTCCATACAATTCACACACGCACAGAGTAATCTGTATGAAGTGCCTGTTAAAGAGAAAGAAACCAGGGATAAAATTGCCAGCTCAGCACCCTGAATGATGATCTCTTTTTTTTTTATGGCAGCATCAACACAGTCTTCCAGGATAGACCACATCTCTGAAGTTGCACCTCAGTTTCCATGTGGTGCTCATTTGACGGTGCAAGTCAATCTAATTAATGAAGACCCATGTTTTCCTTGCAGAAGCAACACTGTCCTTCTAGAAGACTCTTCTCTCAGTTAAATAAGGTCTCTCTGGTATCCTGTCCTATTCTTAGGAAAGATTTAGTGAGACCTGGATGTGAATCATGCTATGAGCTGCAATTTCACCTGTTGTAAAAGGGGGTAACAATAATAGTCCCTTTCTCAAACAACCTTGTGGAGATTAAATGAGCTATGTAGATAAGGGGCTGAGACTGTGCTTGGTGCAAAGTAAGTACTCAACAATGCAAATATTATAAATGTTTGAAATAATAAACAAAAGGGTGCATGTAGTAAGTCTACAACCAAAATTATGGAGTCAAAGCTACAGTCAAGGCACCAAGGAGAAATTTAATTTTTACTGCTGATAAACTATGTAAAATGGGTGGGGGAAGCGGATTAAATGATCCTTGAGTTCTCTTTCAAATATGACATTTTATGAGGAAGATTTAAATAAATAAGAATCAGACAAGATAGTAGAAAACTGAATGCAATTGTACCTACTTGACACTGATTTAGGGAATCATCCCCAGGTTAGCAATCTATTTGCCACAGGTCACTTTGTCTTTAAGAAGGAAAGGAAGGAAAAGGGAGGAGGGAAGGAGATTCAAAGTCTCAGAGTCTGACTGATGGAATTGTATCTCCCACCTTTCTCCTTCCTCTCTCCATGCTTCTGCCTTCCTCATACCCTCCACAACCTGAAAAGATTTTTACTTATCTGGTGTGTCTAACTCAGAATCACACAAGAGAATTTACTTTGCATCAAGGAGAAGAGGAGTTTCCCAGAGTGATTGGGGCGTGGGGGGGAAGGTGTAAAGATTACCCTTTTATTCTCCAAAATATCGGTGGCAAATCATCCATGCTGTTGACACCGTGCTTGCCTACACAGTGACTAGGCTGTCACTGCAATCATATTTCTCATATTTTTATTTTGAACTGTCTGAAATGATCCTACTGGCACCATGATCCTTATCTAATATCAAACAATTTTTGTTTCTATTCTACTTTTCATCTAACAAAGAAATGTGATCATAATCTACTTCAATGTCACTTAGGCATTGGGACAGCTAATGTTTCTCCTCTTTTCAGCAGGACAGGAGCAGAGCACTTACCGATAATATTTCTCTTTGACTATGGCATACATGAGGACCAATGCCAGAGACCCATCCAGGACAACTGTCAGAATTTCCACAGACACAATGGTTGGGTCAAAATTAAGCCATCTTGCATCAGCTTTGCCATATTCTTTCCCTAAAAGCAAAGCACACTTTGTTACTAATCATTTTTATTGCAGTCGATAGAAATGACATGTTTTTTCCCTTAAGGAGGAGATAAAAGGAATAGCTGCCCATTCTCTCTCCATTCTTCATGATGCCTTAGTGGAAGGCAAGAGAAGCCCTGAGACGAAAACGCATTTGCCACCTGACCCAAAAAATAATAACAATATCATGTTATATTAGTAAAATAATTTACAGTTTCCAAAGTGCTTCCACATACGTGCCCTCTTCATTATAAGTAGCAGAATTCTAAATTAATTCAACATAGTCAGATTCTGCAAAGACAATCTTTAATAATAATTATCTTGGTAAATTTATTTCTTACTTAGAAATATCAATATAAAGTCTATAAATATAACTTAGATGTGGGAAAATTATTATTCAGGAAATGTTTATTTAAAAACAAGTATTAATTAAGAATTGAAGAAAACTAAGTGCTGAGGGGGCAAAAGGAAAGAGAGGGGAATTATAGAGCCTGGACTATAGAATGAATCCAAAATGGACAAAAGGGGCATTGCAGTCTGCTATAGGGACAGAATTCACTAACCACCACCACAAAATCCTCAGTCGTGCTGACTGGGGGAGCGGGCATGCCCCAAGAAATCTTTCCAGACCCCACTATCAGGATGGTTCTTCAGAAAGCACCATGAGGTATGAAAGCCTTTAGAGCTGGACTGAGAGTCATGCACTGCATGAAGCCATATTCCCTTCCCTCCCTTACTCTCTTTTCCCTCTCTCTCTCTCCCCATCTCTCTTAATTTATCAGAGTAATACATTCTGGTCCTAAGATCTCAAATAATCAGAGTGAAAAAACCAAAAGTCCCCACCTCTTCTCTCCCTTTAATACTGTTCTCACATTATTTAGAAAAGGTACGGATGGTCAAAAATTATCGACATGTTCTGACTGGGCTGAGCAGCACAAAGCTCTAGTCTCTTACTGGCCAGAGTTAGGATCCCTTGGGGCCAGGGACAAAGGGTTCTAATGAAAAAGGCTATTCTGAGAGAAGGGATGGCCAGTAAACAGGATTAGCTATTTAATGAGATAACACACAGACACAGCTAAGAGGAGATTCTGTGAAAGGCCAGACATAACCAGCAGGCCAGGCAGAGCCTTCCTGCTTGTCCTTAATCAACTGCCAGCCATGAACTAACTGGAAAACAACATAATAGCGAAAGTAAAAATTTTTCCTCTAAATTTAGACATACATAAATTTAGGCAAAATGTACCCTCTAATGCATCCAAAATCTAAGAAAATATCACAAGTGAAATGTCAATGCTTCAGGAACAAAGAGATCAGTGGGCGTTTAGACATTCAGAAATATAATACCATTCATTCATTCTTTAATTCAACAAATCTTTTGGAGCATATGGAAGGTTCTGTGCTAGCAATGACTAGGACACAAGGTCTGCCTGCAAGTGGCTCACATTTTAGTGAGGTCAAACCATGAAATGAGCGATGGTGACAGAGTATGAGGACATGGAGGAAGTGGCAGTTAAGCCAGACAAGGGAAGTAAGGTGTTTTGATCACTTCCTTTCGACCTGTTGGTGAGGGAAGGATTCTGCCCTAGTCTTATGGGGATTACAGACTTCACTACGTAGGACACTGGGCAGATGAGATTGATGGGGGTTTCTTAGCCACATGCACTCACAGCCTAGGGGAGGAAGGCACTGCAGCAGGCAGGCCAGGAGGGGGGCTGCACATGGAAATGGAGTGAACAAGGAGGGGCTATGAGAGGCAGGCTGTGTAGTAACAAGAGGATGAGGTGACCTCTGGTTCCTGTGGCAGGACAGCAGGAGGTGATTGGCCTGTTAGAATAATTCTGAGGCCTGGCAGGGAACTGAAGCCCACTACTCAGGGATGTGTAGGCCCTATGCCTGGTCCCTGCCACAAAGGGGGTTGTTTGGCTGAGGGACCTTATATGAGAAAGCAGGGTGGAGAAGGGATTTGCGGGTAGGCCATTTGAGGCCCTCTGGATTTTACCAGATGTCAAGGCACACATAATACTGGATCTTAATTTCAGAACTCACACCACAAAGGGTGACCTCTGAACTGGGTAAAGGAGGTTATTTCAGAGAAGAGCATGTGCAAAGGCCTGGAGCTGAGGGAACATGGTATTCTGAACCTACATTTAATTCAGCAAAACTGAAGAATGCCTTGTAGATGGGGAGGGTGGAAGAGGAAGGTTAGTGCTGGAGAGGAAGGCAAGGGTGGGGCGGTAGACAGTAAAAGCAGGCCCTGCTACCCATCAGCCCCAGTATATCAAGCCTCTGCTACCTCCTCACCTGCTGCTTAACCTTGACCATGTCTTTGCTGGCTAAATACAGCATTAATAGGCCTAATGCTGTAATCACTATCATTTACTTTGTGACTGACTGCCAGGTTTAGGCAGAGGTTAGAAGAAAGGATGCACACTAAAGGCGGGATTGGTCTCCAGGACCCAAGCCACAGCTGTTCCCTTTACCACAGGGCGGAGGTTGGGGGATTATAAGAGACGACGACAAAGACAGACTCCTCCGAGCTTCTCAGCAGGGCCTCGACCTTGGGCTTTGTCCTTGGTCTTAGTCCAGTTTTATCAAGACCAGCTGAGTCAGCTTAGTGAAACTCCCCCATTCTTGGTATCTTTCTTTCCCAGTTTTATTGAGATATAATTAGCAATGTATAAGTTTAAGATGTACAGCATAATGACTTGACTTACATATATTGTGAGATGATTACCACAGTAAGTTTAATTAGCATCCCTCATCTCATAAAGATTAAAAAACAAGAAAAGATGTTTTTTCCCTTGTGCTGAGAACTCAGGATTGATTTACCGTCCTAACAACTTACAGTAGTGTTCACTGCAGTCATCATGCTGTACGTTACATCCTCAGCACTTATTTATCCTATAACTGGGAGTTTGTAGCTTCTGAACACCTTCCTCCAATTCCTCTGCTCTCTATCCCCTGCCCCTGGTAACCACAAATCTGATATCTTTTTCTGTGAGTTTGTATTTGTTTATTTGTTTGTTTTTCAGATTCCACATATAGGTGAGATCACACAGTATGTGTCTTTTTCTGTCGGACTTATTTCACTCAGCATAATAGCCCCAAGGTCCATCCATGTTGTCACAAACAGCAGGTTTTCCTTCTTATGTGGCTGAAAAATATTCCATTGCATATATATATACCACATTTTCTTTACCCATTCACCCGTGATGAACACTTAGGTTGTTAGCATGTCTTGGCTATTGTAGACAACGCTGCAATGAACATGGGGATGCAGACATCTGATTAAATTCCTCACCCCCCACCCTCTATATCTTATCACCCCCACCTGCCTTCAGCAAGAACCCTGTTAGTGGGACTATCAAGAATCCTCCTAGGCTTGATGTTTCTTCTTAGGAATTTTCCATGCACTGATTCCACCTTATCCCTTGGCTATAAATCTCTACCTGTCCTTGCTGTACTTGGAGTTGACCCTGATCTCTCTCCTACTGCAAAGCCCCCACTGCAATGGTCCCTCTTGAATAAAATCTTTCTTACCATCTTTAACAAGTGTCATGAGTAATATTTCTTTAACAGGGTCTACATAATGTTAATGGCCCAGCTCTACATTCTAGTGAATCGAAAGACAGTCTATAGATCAACATCGGGAGGCCTTACCCTCTGAATCAGAATCTGTATTTTAACAAAAGTCCCAGGCAATTAATGCTCTTTAAGGCCCAAGAAGCCTACTTTGTAATATCGATCAGATTTTCACTTTCTCTAGAATAAAGGGCATTCCCATTAGATGAAGTTTCACTTTTTTAAAGGTGAAAATGTAAATTGAAGATGACTGATAAAGACTGAGTTAGATATTTGCATTTCACGGGATTGAGCCAGGTCTGGGCTGTTCCCTTTCTCTGATGCCAGACAAAGCAGCCAGGTTGGGAGGACAATGACATAGGCTGGGGTCCTCTAGCCCCTGCGCTTCCCAGCAGTTTTCAAGAGAAGTTTATTCCAGCTTGTTCAGCGAAAAGGTGCACAGCAGCATTTTGCTCACCTGATAGAAATGAAGGAACTGGACTCCAGTGCAGGGCTCAGGCTCCTTGAGCTACTACTACTGGCTAGGAACTGACAGGCATCAAAGATGACATGTTTTGCTTTGAGAAGCACTAACTGTAGTTCAATTCTCTAGAAGAATTTCCTAACATTAGTGACAAACAGGAGTCCTGACACAGATCCTGGCTGGGGGATATGATTTCAGAATCATAGAAGAAATGAGATAAACAATGAGGTATTTCAGGTGCAAAATCTGAAAGAATTATCCTGAACAAAGCAGTTCTATGATAGTGGCAAAGGACCCTATTATTACACAGCTCATTTATTTGTTTGTGTTGACATAGTACATGGGAGGTAGTCAATACTAACTGATTGAATGTTGATCGATTAATAGTGAGCATGAAGAAAATAAGAAAACTAGTTAATATCTTGGTAGAGCAAGAAAATTTTTGGAAATTATCTATAAGACACTATCTATACATATATATACCCATATATGAAAGTTGATGTTAAAGGTGTTTAAATACTGAAAACTCTTCAACTTCACTCATTATAAACATTTAAAATATACATTTATTGAGATATAATTAATGTGCCATACAATTTACCTATTTAAAGTGTACAATTTAGTGGGCTTTAATAAATTCACAGATTTGAATCACAACAATCTAATTTTAGAGTATTTCACTACCCACCAAAAGAAACCTGTACCCATTATCAGTCATTCTCCATTTCTCTCCAACATTCCTTCCCCACCCTCCCCCAGCCAGCCACTAATTTATAATCTGTCTCTATAGATTCACTTACTCTGGACATTTTATATAAATGGAACCATACAAGATGGGATACATGTACTGATTAATTGACAGTCACACTTGCAATACATCTCCTTAAACATTTCAAATGCAAACATTTAAAATTACTTACATAATGAGGCAATCAAGCCATCAGAATCGGCAATGTTTCCTATGAAAGACAAGTAGACAAAAGGGCCTTCCTAGAGAGAAGAAAATGAAAACATGCTCTAATTTAGCATCACAACCCAAGGTGGCACCACAGATACCTGGCATTGCATGGAAGTATCCTATCCCAGTTAGTACCATCAGAGTACCACACCTACACGACCCCATGGGGTACTATCCTGGGGTGCAATCCCTGACCTTGGAAATGGATGAATCCAAAGCTAATGTGTATATAATAAATGCTATTTTTCAATGATTGGCATTATAGAATAAGAGGTGTGTTCTGACAGGCAGAATAAGTTGAAAAATTTTCACAAGGAAAGAGCTTAAATTTACATTAAATAGGCTAAATTCTGGGTTCCAAGAAATTTACACCTTTGAGAAGTACCTCACAGCAGTTCATTTTGTCTCACCTAAAAAATAAAAATAAAAAAAAATCCAAGATCTCTCTTAACAAAAATGGCATTCAAATATCTATACCAGAGTTAAACTAGTTCTTTTTCCAGCCTAAGGGTAGATTTAGGAAAATTTTAAATGCTGACAGGCTACATTTTTTCTTCTTTTTAAAATACATCTTTATTGATTTCAGAGAGAAGAGGGGAGAGGGAGAGGGAGACAGAAACATCATTGATGAGAGAGCCATTAATTGACTGCCTCCTGCATGCCCCCTACTGGGCATCGAGCCCACAATCTGGGCACTTGCCTTGACAGAAATCAAACTGCAACCCCCTGGATCCTAGGTCGATGCTCAACTGCTGAGCCATGCCTGGCAGGGCTGACGGGCGACATTTTGAATTTTAGGTAATGAAATATTTTCAATTACATTTAGCATTTCCCCATCGCAGATGTATTTCTTCACCTAAAATTTCAAAAACCAAAGAAGTAGAATTCACTGGGATATCTGATTGTCATGTTACCCCTGGGAACAAATTCTGCTGCTGGTCAATACAACTTTTTTTTCTCATTTCTTTTTACCAAAACAATAGCTTATATGACATTAAAATTGTATCTCTGACTAATCCTTGCTCATTCCTAGTTCCACTTCCCAGAGGTTAACACTAATAACTACTTCTGTCTGTAGTTCTGGGGATTATTTCCGTAATTGACATTCTATTTCTTCCTTCCTCCCTCTCTCTCTCCCTCCCCCTTTCTTTCTTTCTCTTTCTTTCTTTCTTTCTTTCTTTCTTTCTTTCTTTCTTTCTTTCTTTCTTTCTTTCTTTCTTTCTCTCTCTCTCTCTCTCTCTCTCTCTCTCTCTCTCTCTCTCTCTCTCTCTCTCTCTCTCT